ATATATACTCTGTAACTAATCATAAATCTTAAGAAGGAATTTTAATTTAACATCTTTTTTTTTTTTGACTTATAAAACCTATCAAAAACATTTTTTAACGTATAAAATATGTCTGTCTATCACATACTTTTTCTTTTCACAAAGAATATACAATGAATTAAAAAGTACATTTACCTTTACTAGTAATATAATAGTTTGCGTATAAAATCGATTGCAATTATAGTAAGTAAAAGAAAATGTTCTATTCGGATGTTTTATTCGATCTTGAATCATATATACATATATAGGACATTAACATTTTTTGACTAATCGATAGTATTATGGTCCAACAGAGAGGAAAAGAAAGAGAGAAAAAAAGCAGAAACGTATTTGACAAACGTATTCATTGAGTTCAGCGAGCATGAGTGGAAAGAAAATCTAAAGCGAAATCAACCAAAAAAAAAGTCAGAATGTAGCCAAAGGCGATAAGGTGTATTCCTCCTCATCCCATTAGCTTAAAAAATGTTCATTTGATCGTAGACATAATCGATTTCTCTATCGAAAACCACATAGATTATAGAAAGGGGCAAAAAATCTCTGTAATCCTTTCATTCTTTTTCCTTCGCCACATTCTTGACATAAATGCGTATAAAAGGAAAATAAGAATTTTCACAATCTCTTGGCGTCACGTTTTTTGCTTTTTTTTTCCTTGTTAGTTTTCTTTCCTTTTTACTAGCGGTTCGGATCAATGATAACAAGAATACTTATATTCATTATGTATGTCATGATGAAAGTTTGAAAATATATATCTTTTAATGATGTTGTCATGCATTATTATTGCTTAGATCGAATAAGAACATCAGAATGTTACATTATCATTATTTTATTACGCATTGGTGTTTTTTTTCTTTACTGCAGGTCATAAAACATACCTATCATCATTTACGATAAAGTAAAAAATAATAAAGCCGGCAAGAGATGAAAAAACTGCGAGAATAATGATGAAATATAATGGTGTAAATAGGAGGAAGTGCATAAAATTAACACACATGTTCAGCAACCAATGAGACAGTTATAATAAACTCATAAAATTAATATGTAATAAAATAATAATTCTATCGCATGTCTACAGATTGATAAATACAAGCAGAATGTACATAGTCTCGTCTATAATATATAATGAAAATCTAATGATCTGATACATCTATTTCTAAATAATGATATTGTTTATATTCTTATAGAATATCTAAATTTGTTCTATTGTTCTGATTTATAGCATGATAACAAGTGTAGAAAAATTATATGTTTGTAAAGTTTTTCATTATATTAGAATATGTAATTACTCTTGGTTTTTTTTAATTAATTTGGTCTGGAGTTGATGACAAGTTTATATTATTAGCATAAAAACATGGGGGATATCCTAACTTTGTCGATAAGACTTTCGTCAGTTGCCACAGAATAAAATCCATATAGGACACATGTATCACTTGAAGCTAGAGTTCAGTGGTTTCAAAAAACTAGAACCGAACCGGAACTGTGAAATCATCAGATAGACACAAAAATCCTTAAATCTATGTCGAGAAATCTCTGTTCTTGAGATTATATAGACTTCAGTATAGATGCATAATATTGTTTTGTTTAAATATTGAAATATGTGATGTCTTTAATCTTAGCAATTCAATAGAAAAAATTTTTCAAAATATATTCAAAATTTTCATATCGACACGATAATTTAATGATTTCGGTTCTGCGTGATATTTTGCGAACCAAATCAGAAGTGCTTTTTTTTCTCATTTTTAGTAATCGGAGTCCAGGTTCTGCTTCCAGGTAATTTCTGGAATCATCGAACTCTACTTGAAGGTACTGTTGTTAGAATATATATATATATATATATATATATATATATCACTGTTCATACAGAGAATCCGTTTGAATATGACCGAGTCATGTTTTTAATAAGAACAAGTAAGATTAGTAAGAAATAAAAAAAGATACATAATGCATAATTTAATCTTGATGTGGAAAGATTATTTCTCCTTTTTTGCTCTAACAAACAGATTCCTCAACAAAATGAACAAGAAATTTAATTGCATCAGTCAAAAATCTTTTATGGCTGCGATATAGACGAACATTACCTATCAATGTAATAGATAGAAGCTATTTCAAACCACATCTAATTTACATTCAAATTGGTCAATGTGAACGAATGGAATATATATAGGCAAAATTCATATTGACAAAATTTCGATTACCTGAAAAAAGCTTGTTTTAGGTTTCGTTATTTCTTGCTTAGTTATTCGTCTATCATGAGACATTAACCAACAATGATATGTTATCGACTTTTGATGCGTTCTTTACCTTAGTTAAGAAGTATTTTCATATCAGTGACAACCCGAAGCACGCCACGTCGGGGGGGGGGGGGGGGGGGGAATATCTCGTTTTTTCTGAAAAGGAAGAATGTTTTTCTTCTAACAGAATGCAAAAAAAAAATATTGTCGCTTCTACTGGAGAAAAAAAAATTTTTCACGTTTGGAAGACGAGTATTACATTTCCATTCAGGCTACCGCTGTTCAAGATTTATAGTTTATTCAGTATTATTTGCATTGAATTCATAACATAATTTTGTCTAAATTGAATGAAAAATTCAATTATAGATGAATAAGAAATGCAACTATTTTCAATGTCAAAATGAAAAACAATCTTTGTACACATCAAAAGGTAGTTTTCTTTTTTTTTTAAATATTCGAGGAATTCTTTTACTTTATTCTAAATGTCTAAATTTTGATAAAAATTATTTATTCAATAAATAAATACGATTAACCTGATTTTATTTAAATTTGTCATTGAAAACCGTCTTACTTCGATCTCTTGTTTGAATATGTCATAGTATGTAGCAATAAACTTCATCAAATTTCCAACTTTTCATTTTTCTTTTATTCATAATCAATTTTCATTATGAGGTTAAGATATATTTCTTCAAATCACTATTACATATTTCTATTCTTTACATGTCAATATTACTAAGAAAAACAAAATTCGATCAAATAAGAATAAAATTTGTCATCATAATCATTTTATTCAGTAATATTAATCGATTAAATTCAATTCTTTTAGATAGTACATATCAGAAGTCTCAATAGGCTGGACTGGGCCGAATAAAGCTGGACGATAGGTGACTTATCTAATTGTATTCGATAAATTTTAAACATATGAATGAACAAGCCATATTTCGAGTACGAGTAATTGATATATAAACAAATGTTCAATAAAATATTCGATAACTTGCAAAATTTTCAATTCTTTTAGATTCATCAGTAATAAGGATATGTTTGCTTTTTCATTTTTAATAACAACATATGTTGATGGTTGTTGTTTCAAAAGAAATTTGATCCATTCGGATGTAAACTGTTTTGTATGTAATAATTAACCAGTACCGATAGTTGAAGGAAAAAGTATTAACAAACATCGATCATTGAGAAAATTTAGTAGGAATGGAATTTGAATTAGAAAAAAACCAATTGTTGATGAACGAGAAGATACATTGTATTGAATATAAATAAAATTTTTATTAAGGTGACGACAATTTATCTTTTTCTTTGTTTTGTTTTAAATATTTGTTGTTCATCGCAAAAATGTTTTAGTCAATCGAAGAATTACATGCGATTTTCGAAAAAAAACTTCAGTGAAAATACACAACACCATTTGAAAATTTGTTATTCTATTCAAGATTCGGCTCATAGGTGTCCATCGCACTATTGAATTAGCCAAGTTTAGGCCATAACTTTCTATTCAATAAAACTTTGGCTCATGGGCTGGATCAGGTCGTGCTCGACTCATTCCATTTAGACCTTTGATACACATATTAATAACTCTTTTCTAAACTCACACATTTTATATTATTTAAAACTTTCTTATAAAAGAAGAAATATGTCATAATCGTTGATGTGCATTACTGATATGGATAGAAAGTATAAGTAATAGACATATATAAGATCAGTCTTGGAATTCGAGACTATATGACCAGCGTTAATTCTGTGGCTTTTCAAGTTATACTTTTCGTACATCATAAATTATATTTACTCTTTTCATGCTAATATCTTGTAATACAAAAAAAAACCATCATAATGAATAAGATGATATAAATATAAATACGTTTCGTAAATATTAAATCTTAATGAGTAAATCAATCACAATTATATACACGCCCATATAAAGAAAAATAAATAATTTCATCATGATGAACACTAAAATATGTCTTCGTCATCGTCTCATTGCATTTATCTACTGAACATTACGTCATCATCTTTAAACGATCGGCTTTTTTTCATGTATCAATATGATTGTGATAAATCCTTTGATAATACATGTTTATTTGGAATATATGATCGAGAAGCTATCTCTTCTGATTTGATTAATAAAATCATGTTTAAGTTTTATTTTAAAAAATATGATTTTATCTAGTTTTTTAGTAACTGTTGCGCCTGAGTAGATATGTGTGGGATTGGAACATTTGGTCTCGTACATGTCTACTAGGTGATGATATCATAATCAAAGATGTCTTGTTTCGATATATAAAAACTTACATTTTAGATAGATATCGTTTGAAAGTAATTAGTAAAAAAGGTTCACTAAATTAATTCCTTTATGGAATAACAAATAAAAGTATAAATTAATGACGAAAATATCTCTAAATTGAATAAAAGAAAAAACATTAGAATATTAATGCTTAATTCTATATGCATTAATAAGATTAAAATAAAATATGTCATTTTCTTTTTCATCAGTTCTAAAAATTAAACTAAAACTTTTTCAATATATCATTTCATATGATGATCATTTCAGAGACGTTTTTGATTGACTCGAACAAGAACAAAAACAAAAAGAACTTTAATTAAACATAACAATAAACAAGAAATAAATAGCATAATTTATTTCTTAATCTATGTTATTTGTATATCTCCAATTAATTAATTCTGTTGAAGAAAATTATTGATATATAAAGTATTTTTGTTGTGTTAAGGCTAGAATATTAGATATTCATTACTTGATAATATTGCACCACCACCACCGATACCACCAGAAACATAAACTACATCCTGAAATGAAGTAGCTTGGTGTAGATAACGTGCAGCATTTAATAGAGGTCCATAGGTAAACATTCGTGTGAATGGATTGTACATCTCGACTGAATTTGTTGGAGTTATCGGTTGATAATTGAACATTCCTGCAGCTCCACCAATTATGATTACTGATCCATTTGAGAGTAGAAGAGCTTTATGAAACGAACGTGGCATTCTCATATAAGCAGTAGGAACAAAAGTTTTATTAGCTGGAAAGTATAAATAAGAATTAAAAAATGCGTATGTGCCATTATCACCTCCGGTAATTAATACTGCGTTTATTTGTGGAATATATGTGGCCTGATGATGAGCACGTGCAGGTATCTCGTCCTTAGTTTCTAACTCTGTGATACTCAGATTTCCAGCTGGCGTTAAATTCAGCCCATCATATATAAAACCGACTCCAGAATATGAACTACCATTAAAACCACCGAAAATCAAAAGATTTCCTGTACTACCAAGAGATGTTACTGAATGTCCTTCAAGATTTAGTAGTCGCAAATGAGATGCTGCCAGTTGTTGAAATGTAAGTGAATTACGATTGTATATTTCAAATGGTAGGATACTATTAGATGTCAGACCAGCGACGATGAGAATATTCGAATTATTAAAAATATTTATTTCATGAAAATAGCGTGGTTGACTCATTGAACTATGAAGTTGTGCACCACTAATCGAAATAATTTCAGATTGTGAAATAGATACATTATTTTGTTGAACACCTCCAATAACAAGAACTGTATCAGAATTATTATAATACATTGCTGCATGTCGTGATCGTGGAAAATTCATACTTGATACATTGTAACAACCAGTGAATGGATCATAAATATCAATCGATGATAATGTGGTCAAACCGTCAGCTGTTCCACCAACTATCATCAAATAGCCACTTTGTTGAAGATATGTCACTGTAAAGTATACACGTGGAGTACTCATAGGACCAGCTAGTAACCAAATATTTTGTGGAGTTCTTGGCAAAAGGTTACAAACTAAATTAGAAGTAGGGTTTTTTTGTTTTATTGACAAATCGTATTGTCTTATTCGATGAATAGGATGATGAATGAGCATAGAAAGTTTTTCAATTTAATTGTTCATGAATATCAATATAAACGAAGACATGGATGAATAATTTGTGTTTTAATTTAAATACAATAAAATACTTCGAATGAAAGAATCGATTATCATGTAATTCCTTTTTTTTTGTAGTTTCTGACTATTATCCATTTCAAAATATCATGTACTTCATTGTTTTATCGAATAACTTTAGATAGAAACATCACAAAAACTTGTAGTATTCGCCATTCAAGAGAAAAGACTCGGTACTATTGAAAATTATCGAACTTTGATTGATCAGCAGTGGACCAATCAGATGAATTCTCGTTGGGGATTTTCAGAAATGATATTCTGAAGCCATTTTCATTTTGAGTAGAATTAATCGATAGGAAATATTCTTCTGTATTGATCCACACAAGACCGACCTTCTGTTCAAGAGTTATAAGCCTTTTCCTGTCACCTTCCGATTTCAGCCAATCGATCTGTGATTACTGGAAAGAGCAGTTAGGCCAGGATAATTCATCATGCGGAGTCGGATGGTGATATTCGTTTTTAGATTCGAACTAATCTTATACTGTTATTGCAATTTTTTCGAAATATCGACTCTTTCGTTTCATGCCAACTGATTGTAGAATTTTAAAACTATTGAGATAACAGTGCCAGATCATTTCGAATCTAAAACCAAATATCACCATTCGACTCAACATGGGGAATTACTCCTGTCGAGCTGCTTTTTCGAGTGAACACAGGTCAATTGACTCAAATCGGAGAACTCAAGAAAAACCTTATAGCCCTCGAATGGAACAAGTTAGGAACGTCGACCTTGCGTAAATTCGAACGAAAAATGGCATCAGAATATCGTTTTTGACGATCTCCATGAAGAATTCATCTGATCGGTTAGTTACTAATCAATCAAAGTTTGATATACTTCGATAGTTTCAAGTTTTCTCTCTTGATTGATGAAAACTCAAGAGGAAAAGTGCAGTTCAGAACCTCAGCACCTTTTGGTACTGAAAGTCAGTAGTGGTAGGAGTGTACAGCTCACATTCGAAACAGCTGTTTCTCAGCTATAGTAAGGACAAAACATTCCGATGTTTGGGTCAAATGAAAGAAGGTCTCGGACAATCCCAGGATTGGTCCGAACAAGCCTATGCTTTGCTCTTACAATAGCTGAGAAACAGCTTCACGCAATTTGATTAGTTGATACGAAAATGCTATCAACCGATCAGATTTCAGCAGGGATTTTTACTCTCTAGTAAGGTCAAAAGATAGGCTTGTTCAGGCCAATCCTGGAGTCATTCGGATTCCTCTTTTATTTGACCCGAACATCGATGTTGTGTTCCTACAATAGTTAAGAAACAGTTGTCTTGAATGTGAGCTGTACATCCCTACCACTACTAACTTTCAGTACCAAAAGATGCTCAGATGCTAGGAGTTCTGCACTTACACTTTTCTCCTTATGAGAACAACAGCACCATTGCAGCTTCATCTCAACATTTTTCTGACACCTCGGTGCCAGCTCACCACCTTTTCAGTACCTTTGAAAATAATTTGGTATATGGTGTCTGGACTTTCCTCCTTGTGAAAACTGCAGGTCTCTATGATGTTCTATTAAAAGTTATTCAAAAGAAGCAGTGAAACACATTATATTTTGAAGTGGATAGTAGGATATCAAATGTGAATAAGAACTTTCTTTCGTTTTTTTTTCTCGATCATGCAATTAATTGGATTCAAACTTTCTATAGGCACTTTGACTGAATTTGAAGACTTAATTTGATAACTTTTATAAATTTTTCACAATTAAAAAAAAGGAAACACATTTGTGATCACACTTGCAGTATTTTGATTCTCTTCAGTCTGAAGAAAAATATTTTCCAAAAATTATACCGTCAAAGATTGAAGTTTTCTCTAAACTTCGAATAGAAATGTGCAGAGTAAGCCTTTTTTGTAGCCTGACTGAGAAACATTTCGTAAGTCTTACACGACCCTACAGAGTAAGGTAATCCTACAATATCTCTAAATTGTGAAAGAGAAGGTTTCTCTACATCTTCCTATAGAAAATGATTATAATTTTCTTAAAACAAGCAACTATGATTTATTTTACATAGTTTATTGATTATCTTCTCAGTTTGTTTTTCATACTTCTAACATGTTTTTGAATTTTGGACTTACATAATATATTCTAAAAATTCATTTCAAAATACTAAAATTCATTGAACTTGAAACTTTACCTGGTCTGATACTAGATAAAATAATAGATAGTGAAAGTGATGCTAATATTCGAGGAGTGTTTGCTAAATATCCGACATATGATAATGTTCGATTGCCAATATCTCTCTGATCGAATACTAAGCTAACAGTAGTATTGGGTGTGGTTGAGATAACTTCATTATCTAATAACCACATGCAAGTTAATCGAAATGGACAATATGCAGATACACTATACACTTGTACGTTTGAATCAATAGAGAATGAAGTTGGACCAGTGATTATATATGTTGTATTATCTAAAATGATAATGTGAATTTTTGATTTTATATTTTGTTTTTATCATTTCTCACCTGGTGGCATTTGTGACGGTAACCGTTGTGAAAAATGAAAGAAAAGACTATGTGGATCAAAATTAGAATTTGATTGTAATCTTAAAAGACATCTAACATAAGCAAATGAAAAACCTGTATGTAATATGTCTAAGACATGTCCAAGATCTTGACGATTTGATATATATGTGATTGGATTACCAAATCCATCACGTATAATGTCACCATTGTCATTATGAAAGCTCATCTGTATATTAATTATTTGATTTATATTACCTAATTGTCCAATTAATATTTGTCTGTCAAAGAAATTAGTAATACGAGGATTAAATTGTACTTCATATATATCATTTTCTGTTCTGCTATCTGTTATAATATCTGATAGACTTTCAAATGATACAGTATTACCAGGATAAAAATTATTTAATCTACTTGTGAACTCTTCTAAATAGATGAGGACAACAAAAACCAACAGTAGAAAATTTATTTTTAATGTGTAAGTTAATTTTTTAACCTGATAACCAATCATCGTTACTGGTAGAAAATGAAGATAAACCTAACAGATTATCATCCATGTTTTGACCATGTACAATAATAAACTATAAAATAAAATATTAAAAAAAATAAAATTTCAAAAATGAAATATTTACTCGATAAATTGATATGAAAATAATCGATGTAAAAAGCGTCATAACAACGCTGTTTATTAAAGACAACATATCAATGACGGATAATCTCATATAAAGTTTTTTTTGCTTTTTTTTATATGATGACAAGAAAAAAAGAAACAGATGTAATTTAAAACAGATTATTTTTTATGAAACATTTCTTGAAATTAGAACACATTACAATTGTATACAGACAAATAGAAAAATCTAGAATTAATTACTTTTCTCAAATCAATTTTTGTATTCAAATAAAGAAAAAAAGACACAAATAGATATCAATTGTTTATTTTTTGTTGGAGTAGAATTGTCTACTGGATTAATTACTCTATCTTTTGTATTATAGTAGATAGTATGATCAATCGTTATTGAGATAGTCCACGATACATTTTAGCTAATACTTGATTGAATAAACATCGCTAAAGCTATTTATTTAACTTTTCAAGATTTGCGCATGTTGGGGTTTTTTTGCGAGCACTTATAGTCTTAATGGAAAAAAAAACAAACTCCAGGCAAGATTTTTACGAATAATTTAGTAAATACTTAAGTATGATTAGCTACTAAATTTCTTTCAAAAATGTTTCTCTATTTATTAATTAAAATGTGAGAAAATTTAAGTTATAACATGTTATTATAAACACATCGCTTCTAAAGTAGAATATGTACTATTCGTTATATTGAACATTAAATGTTGAATTTGTTTTTGTATATTGTCATCTGGTTTTATTTTCTCTATCCAAATTTGAGTTTATCTACTAAAAGAATAGAAAATCTGGAATTGTTTTTCTCAATAACAAATTATTTGAATATTTTTTTAGATCATTGATTAAATATTTTTACTTTAATCGATTTATTTTTTTAGTATTTAGTATTTGATGGCATAATTGTTCTTTTGTTTTATTCGATATTATATAAAAATATTAAAACATGTTAATCAGACATGTCATTTATTTAAAAAGATTTCCTTCAATTTAATAATTTAAATTGATCAGCTTCTTGTAAAATGAAACATAAGTATTCAAGGATTATTGCAACTGAACTTTCATAAAGAAATGATAATAAGACAAATATCGAAAGAATATTTATCTTCATTAATATTTTAAAATGATTGAAATTTTTTTTTCGTTTTTTGAATAATACATCAACCAAAATATAAAAGTTAGAATTAAATATTTGACTGTGTAAGTGTTACATAAACATGTCTTGGAAAGAAAAAGTGTCAGTCAATAAACTCCCTTCAAATATGAAACTCTAATTTTTTTTTTGTGAACTTGTTTCTGCCTGTAATTCAATTTAAAGTTATAAATCAAACCCGAATACAGGAATATCAACTTAACTATCTCCACTATACGAGGAACAAATTTGAATTCGATCTGTTGAGTACCAATATGCTCAACATTTGAAATTTTTATTAGCATAGAATTGAAATAGATCTAGTGACACATTTCATATAGAGTTATCTCGAATAGAAAGTTTAAAGGTAACTAGCGCTTCTGAAAACATTTCTTTTTGTCTAACAAAGCTGATGAAAATGTGATGTTGGTCTTTGATGGTTCCTCGATTGTAATCTTTTCAGTTCTTTGTGAAATCATTTCTCTCGAATGATAATGAAAAGTTAATTTTGAAAAGATAGAATTTCTGTTTAGATCGCTATCTTAACTGAATTTTTCTTATAACATACAACTTTTGTCGTTTGCATACATCTTCTGTACAAGAGATGGATTCTTTCGATGCTATAGAATCAGAAAGAATTAGTATGCGACGACATGGCCAAAAACTAATTAAACAATAAACTATTATGTAATACTTGTAAGGTTTTTATATAAAAAAAATTATTCAATTCTATTGAATTGCTATTTCAATCTTGAAGAAAGAACAGTATACTTTGCCTCACTTTCTGAATAGTAATTTTGCTTGTTCTATCATTCTGTTTATCAATAATTTATTTTTGTTTTTTCTATTCTTTTTTTGAACTTTTTCTATACTCCATCAAATTTTTTTCATCTACCCTTTTCAATAATGTACGTGCCATAGAATAAGTTAAAAAGAACTCTGACACTTGGTTCAAAAGAATCAACGTCATACATTACACAAAGATGGATACATGAAAATGATTAATGAAGTATAACGAGTGCATAGAATGAAACTTCAAACATTTT